AATTTCCTAAATTTTCTAAAGGTGTTTGTCTCCATCTGCACCAGAGGTTGGAGAAAACTCATTCTTAACTTGATATTATAGTAGTATAAAGAAGGAACTTAAGGCTTCAGTGTGTGACTGCATGCACTTAACCCTTTAACTTAGGCTGATATGCAGGGCTTATTTCAGGTTTGGAGGTCAGGAGTGGAAAAAATACTTTGCTCAATTAGTCTGGTATTTCCTGCTAATATTGCTAGATATTAGCTAATTAGTAAAAGAAAAATCCTTCAGTAACCATTTAAAAGGAAAATTAGAACACAAATTATAAAGAATCCTATTGACAACAATAAATCTTTTCTTTTAAATAGATTTGACTTCCACATCTTGACTTAATTCCATGGTACAAAACTCTTCTTTCTACTCTTACTCTCATGGTTGCCAATGGATTTCTTACTAAATAGTGTCTGTCTTTGCTTTTCTAGGCCTGTGGACTCACAGAAAGAGACATTGCTACAATTAAATTACTTAATGAAACTAGAGATATGCTAGAAAGGTATAGAGAAATATTAAACTTGTCCTCACAGCTATTGTTTATGTAAGACAATTACTTTCATATAAAAAGCTGTCGACTTTCATTTGTGAAATGTTGCCACTCTGCTGCATTAAATTTTTATATTCACTAATTGTAGGCTGGGACCTTCACAATTTGAGAGCTCTGAAACTCAGTTCTAAGAAATAATCCTGCCTTAATGAGATGACCAGGATGTCCTTCCCAGTCAGCCCCCCTTACCTCTTCCTCACCTTTTCTGTAGTTATGCAGGAACAGAGGAGTACTTCTCGTAATTTTACTTGCTTTGATAAAAGAACATCAATTTTGGCTTATCAGAATTTATTTTTAATGCATGGTTTTGAGACTGGTTTGTATCCATCCTTTTACAGGAAGCTACCACAGTGAGGCTTCTATAATAAACATTGAAAATGAGGGAATTGAGCCAAATGCCAAACTATTTTTACAACTTAGCTGCTAGAGATCTGGGGCATTTTAAGGATGAGATAAGATATTACTTAGTAAGAAAGAGAAGTGAGGAATGCTTTAGATTTATCTGGGTTTCAGTAATCTTGGGGTAGTGTAAGTTGTTGATTGGTTTGCTGTGGAGTTGTTGGGGCGCTCATCTCTCTTGAGGTGGCAATACTGATGGCCTTTCATCTGGGTCATACAACTTCCCTTATGGCAGGGACTTCTGTAGCACTGAATGCTTGCAGGTTTTTTAGTTTGAAAAAATAAATCCCAGGAATCAAACCTTTTTTTTTTTTTCTTTTTTTTTTTTTCCCCCTCCCCCCTTTAGTCCAGACTTCAGTACAGTTTTGAGCACATGTTTAAACAGAGGATTCAGTCGACTGCTGGACAATATGGCGGAGTTTTTTAGACCTACTGAACAGGACCTGTCTCAGAACGGCTCTGTAAATAGGTAACTGTTTTCTTTTGTTGTGGTTCTCATGTGAATAATGCTTTGGGATCACAGTGAATTCCAAAAAAGGCTATGGATTTCCCTGCCTACTTGAAGTTCTCATGCTGGAAGAATGAATTCTAGAATTCTGCTTCTTGCTTTGCAAGAATAAACGCAGTCTCCTCACTTTGGTCAAGCAGCCAGGAGTATCGCATGTTTCTTCCCCCTCATGAAACTGCTAGAACTTACATGAGGTATCTTGCCCACCATTACCTGCAGATCTAAAAGCAGAAGTCCTGTACCTTCCACTCTCTGCCAACCCTGTACAAGCAGGCTGCCTTTCTAGCTAGGGAGGGCTTACCTGAGATGTACCACAGTACCTCCCCTGTGAGAAGGACAGTGCTCCCCTGCAGTTAGCAGGTAAGGTCTGTACGCCCCAGACTCTGACTGTCAGTTGCTGTAGTTCTCAAGGAAGGTGGACATGACTGTGAGTCTCCAAATACACCTGGCCAAAGCACCTACAGAGCTTGAGGTTCTTATGCTGGAGAAAGATACTAACATTCACAATCTTCTGCCTCTTTGCAGAAGACTGGTTTTTGAAACAGCTTTTATTTGGAAGCTAACTTTGTTTTCAAACAGTGCAGTGAGAGTGTTACAAATCCAAAAGCTGAGTTCAAATCCTTGAAATATAATTTCTAAAATATTAAAATTAAAACCTTGAATAATAACTAGGTTTATATATGTTTATTTTAATATCTGATGGCTCTCAAAGGGAAATGTTTTTATTTAAATATATACTATTTACATCACTTAAAATATCCCAAAGGCTATAGTTTGGCTGTCTGTCCTAAGCCTCGTTTAGAGTTTGCAATGGTGTGAGACTGTAGGCCAGCACTTCTAACAACTGTTTACATACAGACACATGTAAAGACTCTGGCTACACTGTATTTCTCCTGCATGAGAAGCAAGTGTGAAACTGGGTGTAAGAGGAACACCAACTGAAACTTGCTTTGGTACTTCTCTATGTTAAATTAAAGACTTGATAGGGACAAAAAACATCTGTACTTTTTAGTTTGCAGTCTTTCAACTCTTACTTGTGAAGTAGTTATTTAGAATTGTAATAATCACAGTTTAGTGGCTTTACTAATGTCAATATTTTTTGTTCTTTTCTAGTCTTTCCAGTGTCAGTCTTCCTTTAGCCAAGATAATTCCAATAATAAATGGACAGATCCATTCAGTATGCAGTGAAACACCCAGTCACTTTGTTCAGGTAAGAATCATTCTTATTTAAAATATATCGAGTCAAATTTTGAAATGAATGTTCTGTATTTCTTTTAATGATGTACTAAATTCTATTTAATTTCAGTGGCTTAAAAAAAGTAGAAACAATTGGCAGAACTTAAACTTTTTGTAAATGTGTATCTTCCAAAAATATCCTATTTTTCTAGAACGTCTTCCCTTTGCTAAACTGTGCAGAAGCACAAAAAGGTCTCTCAACTTGGTTCTACTTGCAGTTCTGCCCACAAACCTTTCTAAAGCAAGAAAGCTGAGTTAGGTCTCTGGGAGTGCCAGGTGCTTTTCTCATGATGAATTACGTACTGCAGCAAAACCGGAATAGTGGTGAATGTGTTTGATTAAGTAAATTTATTCTTTTAAATTTCTTTCAGGACCTCTTGATGATGGAACAAGTGAAAGATTTTGCTGCTAATGTTTATGAAGCTTTTAGTACCCCTCAGCAGCTAGAGAAATGAACTGCATATTTATAGGAATAGATCTTGTATTTATAACAAATCCTTTGTGACTACTGATGAGACTTGGGTTAACTCTATAATGGTGTAGGAGTGGCAGACCAGCAGAAAGAACACTCTGAAAAAAGTGGGAGTGAGCCCATATTTGTTCTAATAGAATTCTGTTTCAGACCCATTAAAAATATTCTTGGTGAAAGAATCATTGTATGTAAAGACTTTTTTGTTTAAAAAGGTGGTTCAGCTCTTCCAAAATTCATGTGATTATTTCTATTGCATCTGAAAGGCTTCTGGTGGCAGTATTACTAAGGAGTTACTAAAAAACCCATTTGTTTGCCTTTGATGTGTAAGTTTTGGGAAAAAAAAATTGTGATCTAAGAATGGCACAGGGTACCAGAATGAAGAAGTAAGGCTTCTTTCTTCTTCTCACAAATTTTTCTTTTTATAAAGGAAAACTCTTTTCTTCCTTAACTTTACAAATGTTATTCCAAAGAGTCTCTCATTCTTCAGAAGCCTTTGCCAACTGATGCATATTCCTCTTGAACAAGCTGAGGAGGGGTACTCTCTCCTTTAGTTACTTCATACTAAAGGAATGTGATTTTCAGAAGTTCTCATTTATGCTGTTCAAACAGCTACACTGTACACATTAACTTGTAAATATTTTACCTTAATTTGTATTAATTTTGAGCTCAACTGTCTGTATTGTAATAAAATATTTTAATGTAAAATTTGTGTGTGTATGAGATTACTAGCAGGAAAGGCAGTAACATCATTTGGCCCCTCACTTAAAATGGTGACAGAGTTGAAACAATAATTTTAACTTATACAGTAATAGTTTTGCACTTATTAACATTACTCAGGAAAAAGAAACTCTAGAACAATTACTGGGTTGTGTTGTCCTATATCTCCCCCTCTTTGCAAACTGCAGGTCTGTCCCTGCAAATGGGACATCATGAATTTGGGAATTTTCCCAGTTGGATGCAATCTACCCTCTGCTTAAACTGTTGTCCCTCTGCCAAAGCTGAGGATCCCTGGCAACTCCCGATTTTATTTTTTTATTTTTTTTTTTAAAGAGTTAGTCATTAAAGTCTGTTTTGTTTAATAGTCCACAGAAGGCACCCTGGTAACTGTGTAAAAACAATGGCTGTAAACAACGAGTCAGCTTTAAGCATGTAAAAGTATACAGAAGAGCAGGAAAAACGCTCCTGCTTTACTTGTATCCCAATAATGGAGAGAATTACTCAACAATACAAACATGGAAAACTAACGATTTTCATACTGCGTTTGTGATTAATTCTAACTAACCCTGACAGGACTGTTCTTGCAGATACATTACCCTTTCCAATTAAACTACCAGCTGCCCAGTGTTACACACAACTGGAAAAAAAATATTATTTTCTCTAAAGCTGACAGTCTTTGCTGTCTTGCATTAAAAAAGGTATACAACCGACTTGCATGCCTTTGCTGTCTGAGCTACTGAACGCTGGCTTGACCTAGCTTTGTTCTTTCTCAGGGCTTTACAAATCTAGTGCTTCGGTTTTCCCTCCTCTGTCCTTCACATAACTTGGCAAGAAACTGACTAAAAAAAAAAGTGTAGAGGTCAAGGCAGATGCAGGTTTTTACACAAGTTCAAAGAAATAAGTTGTACACAGAGATTCAACTCTCTACTGCCCGATTTCATGTGAGGTTTGTTCCATTCTATCCTTTAGTAATAGCTCACCTTTCATAAAAAAAGGTGAGATTACTGATGTTTCTCAGTCAAACAAGTAAGAGAGTTAGAAACCAGTGATAAGAAATGGGGCAAACCAGCAGCAGTCCCTACTACCAGCTCCAGCAGCGTACAGCTTAGTTTACATCAGTCAGTTGCAAAGTCCAGCCCCAATGACAGGGCAATTGTTCAGGAGTTAACTGAGGTAGAACTATTGCCATTCCCTTTGCTCCCAGTGCAACCCATTTCAGCAGGTCCTTGTAGCCAATCAGCTTCACCTGAGATAGAAACATACACCATAATTAAAATTTAAAATTGCATAGAATTGCAAAATTGACAAAAGATATGTTGTTCCTTAGCTACTTTATTATCCAGTTATCCTTAAATGCCGCTTATCAACCAAATGGATTAAAGGTAGTAGAAAAATACTTGCAAAGTAGATGTGTAAGTAATAAAGGTAGCGATGTTGGGTCTTGAGAAGTACTGAGGTCTGTAAAAGGTACATAAACCCTTCCCAGAAGTATTTGGGATGGGAGTTGGGTCCAAGCAGGGATCTAGATACCACAGTACAGAGCTTTGTATCACTGATTTCTGAAATGCCTGTTTCCCATGGTGGAACTTGTAGTCTTGAGCGAGCAATGTTTCTTAGAGTGCAGTCAGCTATCTCAGAACAAAGCTGACCTGAAGAACCCCTCCACTAAAAACACACACTTAGGTTTTATGGTGGGACTCTTATGCCAGCTCATGAAATGCTGAAAATAGTGGCTCAGCTTAAGGGAGCAGCTGAAGACCAGTCTCTGCCCCTGAGGAACATTACTGTCTTGTGCACATACAGTCTAGATGCCTCCACGAAATTTAAGATGCATCTAAATAATTCCTGAAATTACTCTCTTCCTTATCACAGAGCTGTCTTGGCACTAATTAGATTATTTTCATATGGAACTAGACCAGAAGAGACAATCCAGAAACACACTTAATATATTTCAGTAGCTAATGGACATCCAATGCATGAGACCAAGACAGAGACAAGCTAAAGTGAATCCCCACCTAAAATGCACAGTGTTGGTATCAAGTCCTGAGCACGAGCTGTTCTGCTCTATACATCTGCTTCCACTGGGTTACACTACTTGCTAGTGTAGGTGTGGCATCAGTGTCCTCAACTTCTGACCACTGCTGGCTCCAAGACACACATTGAGGGTCACAATGACTCACTATTTAGCATCCCTGGGCAACGAAAACCTGTGTGTGCTTTCCCTTTGTGCAAGGCTTTGACTTGACTCCACTCCACCATTACAGCAATTACATTATCACCAAAGTCATGAGGTTGGGTATTTATAAAGCAAGGTCACGCTGAGTTAGAGTCTACACAGGAAACAGGAGGGGGCAGCAGTTTTTTTTCCTGCTACTTGGCCTCTTTGTAGGAACCTTAGTTTGCAAGCTAAAACAGAACCTAGCAACAATTCAGTCTAACTTTGTTTGTTGGAGAAGAAACATCCCACTGGGAGGACTATGACAAGGAGGTCCCAGAATGAAAACAAACATTTTGCTGGGTCTCTTCCAACGTACTCTGTCCTAAGCTACGCATTCCCAAAGATGCCAGAAACTAAAATAAGCATAGAATGGTTTGGGTTGGAAGGGACCTTTAAAGGCCATGTAGTCCAACCCCCCTGCAGTGAGCAGGGACATCTGCAACTAGATCAGGTTGCTCAGAGCCCCGTCTAGCCTGACCTTGAATGTTTCCTGGGATGGGGCTTCTACCACCTCTCTGGGCAACCTGCTCCAGTGTCTCACCACCCTCATTGTAAAGAATTTATTTCTTATTATCTCATCTAAATCTGCCCTCTTTTAGTTTAAAACCATTACTCCTTGTCCTATATGACAAATTCTAGAGGTGTTTTCCTTCAGAGTATGTTCATTTCTTGCACTGTGTGCTAAAAGCCTCATTGCTCTAAAGGGGGAAGAGGGGAGCGGGGGTGTGTGGGGTGTGTTTTACCTGTGTTTCTCCAAGCTTAGCCTGTGGCTCACCAAGCTCCAGAGTCCCAGAGACTGGCCAGTTAAGGAAGATGGCATTGACTTTGCTGCCTTCAGGACTGACAGTGTACCTGGTTGGGAACAGGGAACAGAAAAGCATGTTAGTTCTTCCTTGTAATTTTCTGAAGCGATACATAGAGTGATTTCAAGACTGGAAAAATGGATTTGGAAAGTCAGCATTAATTAATTACATTTTCACACACACAACCATCTTCAGGCAATTTATACCCTTTAATAAAGTACTGTTCCTTGAAAATACGTTCCAGCAACCCAGAGGTAATAGAGACTCCCAAAGAACTTAATTTAGAGGTAACTTTAGCAAGCATATAGTAACTCACTGCTGCTCAGCCATGTTGGGAGGTACCTACAGGGTGGGGGGAATCTAACAGGTAACTGTGGGTTATATTCAGAAAAATAAGGTATTTCACATCTATACACAAACATGCAGATATTCCACTAAAAAATATTAACAGGAGTATATGTGACAATAAAGGTTCCACCTTGCCATAGCTAGGTTGGTTTTTTTTAAATTGAATTTCAGCAGACGTTACCTACAGTACGTCCCTGGAAATCTCCTGGCGTACACTTGAAACATTCCCCCTCCTTCCTTCATTTAGTTACAATTTTCCATTACTCTTGGAAGTGGTTTTACTAAATGGTCAACAGTTCGGCATCTCAAGGCTAAAGCCAGACAGCCAAATCTTACTGGGAACAGGAGTAAAAAGGCCCACTGAGGCAGAGAAGAGGGTCAAGACCAAAGCCCTGATGGATCATTGAGGCATCACAGCAGCTATGAGGCACAAAGGCAGAGGAGAGTCCAGAGACCAGCTGAATTTAGTGACCAAACAGTTGCTGTTAGCTTCTCATGCCTTTTTACCTTAAAAAGAAATGTAGAATACGCTAGACTGATTTCTAGTTTCTTTCTCTCCCCTCTTTCTCTCTAAACAGTGACATCAAGTATTCCTTTGCACAGATAAACACTTCAGAACAGTTTTATATTTCTGGATTGGTTTGTTTTTTTTTTATAGTTTCTGTTCCCAGCTACACCGAGAAGCACAAGATCACTAATAAAAGGCCTGCAACCTTCCCTTCAGCCTCAGCATCATCCCCAACCTGTGTTCTCTGACACCCACCATCTACCTACAGTTTTAGACACACTTTCACGTGCAGTTACTTTTATGTGCAGGTACTTAAAACTAACAAAGGGGTTGATTTCTTCACAGCATACAAAGTAAGATGGCGATTTCTGTAGCACCAAGTCACTAAGAACTCCAAGATTTCACATACACTGCTGCTCTTTAGGCAGCCTACACTTTGATTCGGGAGCCTTACCACACTTGTGGTGTGACCGTGTCGTTCTGTGCTCTCCATGGTTTCGTCCCATAGATGGCTTCTCCGTTGACTTTCAGCCAGGCACCCATCTGCCTCAGGCGTTCCTCAAATATAACAGCGATGCGACCATCGTGAGTGGGCCCGATATTCATCAAGAGATTTCCTCCACAAGACACTGTTTCTACAAGTTGCTGAAACGTTTTTAAACACACACACAGAACATATGGTTACAACTAATTAAGTCAGGCACACTGCTTCAGAACGATGAACTGAGTGAGTTTTGCTACTGCTGCACGCTTAGACTTTGAGGGTCATCCCAACAGTCAATACAAAATTTAAGCTCCTACAAAACAAAGTTCTGCTGTCAATTTTTATGGCAGAAAACAGCCAAAAATACATTTGTGCACAAATATGTCTGACTGAATCTACATTAGAATCAGATTCTGCAAGTTTTTAACATTTCAACTTCTGCAGGAATTTCACGAGGGTTTTACTGATAGAACGGAGAGGAGATGGTTTCTCCACATGAGAGGAGAATAAGGCCAACAGATGCCAATTCATTTTTACTGAAGCTGAGAGAAGCAACTTCATCAGTTTGATGCTCTCGCTATTTTACAGAAACATCTGTAAAGCACTAGGAAGCCTTCTAGATAGTCCATAAATATGTGTGTTCACATCCACACTACCCTCCACAGATCATGGACTAAGGTGCGTAAGTCTGAGGAACAGAGAGCTGGAGACAAGCTACTGAGTGCATTAAAACCTCCTACCTCTGCAAAGAGGTTACTTCAATTTGAAATTACCTTTTGCCAGGACAGTACTAAAATTTGGATTAAGCAACAATAACCATCAGTCTTCCCCATACTATCTTAATTTTGCAATTAAGTACATCGTATCTGAAAGACAAGTCTTCCTTTCATTCAGTTTTCCTGAGCTTCAAATCATTTTTTAATAACTTAGGACTAGCAAAGGGAATCAGTGTGCTATTAACATAGGCCATCTCCACCTGCTAGTGTTTATCTGCATGTCTGTAAACAACCTGTGTTGGTTTTTTTCTTCAAATGAAGTGAGATGAAAGTTTCTCACTACAAGGTAAAATGACTATTAAGAGTTAGAATCAGTTTCTAGCTAGAAGGGGGGAAAAGATGGAGCCTTCAGTCAAGAGTTCCTAAACAGGAACTGTGAAACTACAACTGTTTGCTTCTCATCAGCTTAGAGACTAGAAAAACTTAGTATAAAGATAATTATGAGACCATCCAGATCAACCTTCAGGCAGTTAGTCACAGGGGAAATAACTTCTAAACTGAATTTTTACTAGATCATTTTTCTCTTAGTCACTTCTATAAAATTAAAAAGTATTTAGAAGATATTCCACCCTGACAGTGTCAGGCTGCAAACGAACAAAATTATTTATCGGTTCATTGATTCATTTCTCAATTAAAATAATAAATTTTATGAAAATATATGTACATAATTGAAATGTTATATAGTGTACAAATCAGGAGAAGCTGCAGGTAACTCCTTTGCCCCACTGTACCTTCACCAAGTCCTCGATTGTGAGGTAATCGTCAAGCTGTGCATTCCTCCTGTACCCCCACGACCTCTTGTCAATGGTCATGCAGTTCTCCCACTTGCGAGGCAGGAGGCGTCCCGGGTTATACCGGTCACTGCAAGTGTAGAAGCCGCCGTGTGTGCAGATGCTGCCAGCTCCCCAGCGGTCGTTGGTCACAACTGTGTCCCGGACTGGACTGGAAAAAGAGAAATTTCATCGTTTTTATTCTATAAAATGCAGTCACAGCCAGTGTCATCCCTTCCTACCGCACATCCCTCCCAGAAACCAACACTGAGGATGACCTCTGCACTATAAATTTATTACAAGTAGATTAAGTGCAATTTCAGGAATCCTGTTCCCATCCTTTGCTAGGAAAAGGTCCAGACCAGCATTTCTTAGGGAAATATGCTGCAGACTTCCACAGGGGGTCTGCCAGAAACCAGTCTGCGCTTCACATCCACTGCCAGATGTTCAGTCTGCAATGACAACAATGTACCCATATTCTCAAACTACCCTGCTACCCTGTTTGTCTGGGCAGTAGGCAATACTTAGGAAAGAACATGATTAGGCAGAACGGCCAATACTATCTTAACTGATTAATTTGCAAATGTAGTTAAAAAATATGAAACAGCCTTTTTCTACAGCAAGCTTTGATAGTCCTAGGGAAGTCCTGTATTTCAGGAAAGTTAATATTTAGTTAAGTCCTCATAAGTAGAGGTAACAGGTTCCACAAAATATACAGAAAACAAGGAAAACAAGACGAACTAGACACAGTATTTCAGATAAGAAGCTAAACCAGCATCATTACATACCTGTCATTATACAGCCAAGCCAAGAAACCAGTGCTGTTCCAGTAAGTATCTGGCGCGTTTCCATCCCCATCAGACCAAATTATTTCTGGTTGGTACTTGGTCACAATTTCATAGAGTTCTGGTAATGATTTACTGGTTGGAAACTTTCTTGTCTTAAAGACATGGGTGGCATCCTCAAGGAAGAGAGGATTAAACCATTCAAACAGGGAATGATATAACCCAAAACGCAAGTCAGTCCTGTTTCTAACAGAAGTTGCTAGTTCAGCCACGAGATCTCGTTTCGGTCCCACATCAACAGCGTTCCAGTTCCAAGAATATTCAGATCCCCACAAAGTAAAGCCTGAAAAGAGGAAAATCAAAGGATAAGAAAGGGAAGCAGAAGACGGGAATTTACAGTTCCTCTTTCTGGAAAGTAGTTTGCAAGTGTGTTGCAAAAAAAAATATAAATATAAAAAGATCATATATGTAATAATACTGTTACAGTATAAAGTATGCCTATAATCTCTGTTTATGCACGGTGATAGTAGTCATAACATCAGAACACCATGCCAGATATGTTCCTGTAGTTTTTTATACACACATAAATATATATATAAATACATATACTTTAAAAAAAACCATTCAATTTTCAAGTTCTGTACTGTTTAGAATAATTATTCCTTCCTCCTTAGTTGTTTACTTAGTTGTTTATAGGTGTCCCAATTAAATTAACAAAAAAAAAAATCAACTTTCAAGCTTTCACCTACTGAATTTTCACTGAATGTATCAAATGTGAACTGTGAAAGCACATCCAACAACTGGAAGATCAAATGCTTTCTCAGTTGCAGAATGCACAGGCAATCATTCGCATTCAAAGACTATTCTCCTCCCTTCTCTTTACATCTTATCCAAATGTTCACTTTTCATTTGTCTCAACACTTACAACAGCTCAGTCAGCTGCTTGGTACATGTATATAAGCAGAGTGCAAAAACTCCTGAAATTACTTTTTAAATACCAGCATTAAATATGTTTCAGACATTCAGCAACCCAGCACAAGCACTTACAAGTACTGCTGCACAGCAGGCTTAGACGACTGCCAGAGGAGCTCCACTCTCACCTTCAAACTGCTTTACACTCATTGCCTAACAAATCTTGCAATATTTTTGTGAACTGGATCCACATAATTGTATTGACTAGACAAACGAGCAAAACATCTATGCCCAAGGCTACAGGACAGGCTACATGAATCATGGGTCTTCTGGAGTCAGTGAGAATTACACCACAGGCATCATCAGGATTTTATGTGTGTCAGAGCAGAGATTAAAACTGACAAGTTACTAGTGGCCAGTCTTGAAGCTACATCTCCCCAAACACCAACAACGTTCACTAGATGTACTCCCATAGTGCACCTTGGTATTTCATACTTTCTTTGCTACCATGTTTCGCTCCAACTTTCCTTTTCTTTCCTTTTCTTTGCAAAACATCTTACAAGTACAGTGCCAAAAATCAATCATGCCTATGAAGTTAGAGACCTGGTTCAAGATTTTGGCTTCTATGCACAGCATCAGGAAGAGCCATACGCCGTATACATTTCTAACTCTGAAGTTGACTCCTGGAACATGCTCCTAAATTCCTTGGAGAAGCCTGTGGAGCTTGTTAACTGCCTGTGCACAGCAGCTCTCCATATGTTAAACAGTGCAGAACTCACTTTTGTGGTTCCTTGAGCAATAAATTGCACAACAATAAAAAATAAGCTATGGCTACTGCAGGAAGCTCAGCTGCCTCCACTGCTTCAGGCTGTCTTACCTACAGCAAGAGAACAACGGCACAATCTGTTCTTCCTCCTACAGAAGCTTCATGGCCATAGCTTTTGTGCAAGAGTCAGAAAATTCATGCACATTTCTTGGGTGGTTTATTTCCTCTTTGGCTGGGTTGGGGCAGGGACGCCTGCCTGGCTTTCTCTGTCTCTCTTAGCAGGAAGGAGAGTCACCTGGATTTTTCTTCTGTTGACAAAAATGTAACAATTACTAACATTCAAAAACCTTCCACTTACCTTCATGATGTTTTGAAGTTAAGACAACATATTTTGCACCTGAAGCCTTCAGAATATCTGCCCACTGGTTGGGATCAAAGAATTCTGCTGTAAACAGTGGCCCAAAATCTTCATAACTGAACCCAGGTGGGTAATTTGCCTCCATAAATTTCACATAAGGCTCTCTCTTTTCCTTCTGCCAGTACCACCTACAAAATATAGGGCAAAAACATTACTGCTGGTGTATTTTGAGACAAAGAAAAGAGAACTGAAATAATCAGCTCCTATTTGTGTTCACACTGAGAGGCACAAGCACTGGAGGTACACAACACTGGTGATGGGGTGAAACTGATCAGAACATAATAGCATTGATTATCAAATATTTCCTTTTCTCTGTCCTCTTTCCCCACATTCTGCTTCTTTCAAGCACTCCACTGCAGAAAGATCCCAGGATTTCATCTGCAGCAATGTCACAAAGCAACTACACTTGGCAACCTTATTCAGTACCCAAATCCCGAAGCCGTACTAGGGAGCACAGGTACATGGTCCATGCAAGCAGCTCAGGTGGCACAAGGAACTTGCTTTTTCTGGACTAACAACTCGCCCTCCTCAAGTCACATATCAAGCATCCCTGCTCTGCCCACCCCCGCTGCAACTACTGCAACTCACAAACACGTGGGCCAGCAGCTTTACCTCTCTCTGTGCCTGTCCACAGTCCTCTATGCCTGATGCAGCCGAGTGACCTGATGTGTGAGCAGACACCCTCAGTCTCAGAGCATGCGAGAGCTGTGACTGCAGAGCACTGCAGCTGCTGGACACACCAGGCTTTGAAGCAAAGGCTCCCTACTAGAACACACGTCCTCCAACAACCTGATGCTGCCAGAGCCCCCCACACAGAGGAAAGCACGTCTGCCACAGGCTCCAGCGTGCAGGCACACATCTACCTCCGTCCCCTGGACCAGCCCACACAGATTCAGGAACTATAAGGTAAAATAAGCTGATGATCTCTTTTTGCATCCCACCTAGCAAAGACAGGGACAGCTTCCATCCTGTGCTCCCCCATGACAGTGACTGCTTTTGTCACTATTCCAGCTGATCTAGTCCACAGCAAGGCTTGGAGCTCTGCTCTGGGGCCTGAGGGTGGTCTCACCCTCATCATGGGCAGAAATCATAAATCACCAATAGAGCACTATTTATTTTCAACCTGCTCCATCCCTCCCCTACCTGACAATGAAAGATGAGCTCCAGAAACAGTCCTTACTGCATAAACAGCCTTATTGCTGGAGACATTCCAACAACAACATACATTTGTGACTGCTAATAGTTACAGGAAAAGGGTCTGAAAGCATTCACCTTTCTATGAATGAAGCCAAGCAGCAAAAATCCTCTTGGCAAATCTAGACATAAATGAAAACAAATTGAAAGTGAAGGAATAAAACAAGCCAGAATCTGAATGTCTGAAACGCATTTCTCTCCTGTCCTCAGTTCTGCAAGGCCACAGTAAGTGTGTGGATACTGTTGTAACCTTCCCAAACAAACTTCAGCATAAACAAACACAATCTATGGCAGCCCACCGGGAAAAAAAATCTAGAAGAGGCTGAGATAATCCTTCTCATTGAAAAAACCTGGAAGAAAAAACAAACAACTCTTATTTTAAAGTATGTAATTGCATAAAGAAATAGGTAACATCCTTGCTTCTCTCCCTTTGTCACATGGTTTGCTAAAATGAGCATTTCTACTCTGACATTATTAGACTCCAGAAATATCCTGACCAATGCTGTGCAGCTGTGAGGGGAAAAAGGACAAGCTGGGCGATATCGGAGTTTATGACTTTCCATATGAAGCTGCTAACACAGGACCTCAATCATCTGGCTCCACATGCTGTCAGAAGGCCCTGAAGCAGCTTCACACCCACGTGTGCCTAAGGATGGGAGGCTACAGGAATATAAAAAACAACTTCATCAACTACATTAGTGTTCTGGGGTCTTTTTAGAACAACAACATCAAAAAATGAATGCTTGACCCTGAATCTGTGCACCACTATCAGAGCACATCACTCGGACTAAGGCTTGCACCCAAAGCTAGCTTCCCCCTTCCTAGGAAAGGGGGGGAAACTCCATTTATTAGTAAACGCAGTCCCTGTTAAAAAACTGCTGAAATGCTTGAATATAACTCTAAACAGACCAAATATTGTCAGAAAACAGTGGTTTATTTCTACCTATGTTGGTCAGTTTTCCAAATATTGCATTTAAGGTTTACCACATGCCTGCAGCAGAGCTGCTGTTATCTTTGTATTATAAATGCTGATGTGACTCACTTGAAGTCATACAGGAAGTATTTGGTAGAGCATGGAAAGAAGATAGCAAAAAAAAACCCCGCTTCCAGCCAAAGGGCCTGTGAACACTCACAAACCAAAGGTTTTATTCAGCCTTTGAATTAGAATTATTTGAAGGATCAGAGCTTTATTTTATTTTAACTGGAAAGTAACCACCTCTTTCGCCAACGCTGTGGCTCGCACATCTTTCAGCTCTACAAGCTCTCTGCTGAACTTGGTTAACGCTCGCCAACATGTTCAGCAGTCTGAGGGCTGGGCAGAGAGATGGTCAGACGTGCCACAGGCACATCCAACTCTGCTTCCTTCACAAACGGTGCCATGGAGCCCGCGGCCTCAGGGACCCACCTCAGAGGGCAGGACACCCCTCCCCACACGCCTCAGCTCCAGGGTCAGGCTGCAGAGGGGCTTTAAACCAAACCACCGCTCTAAGGGGGACACCAAACCC